CGGCCGGAGCGCCCTGTGCCCGCCCCGCCCCGGCGCGACTGACGGCCCGGGCAGCCAGCAGCGACCGCCCGCGAGAGCGGGGGGCGCGCCGGCCAATCACAAGGCGAGAGGGGCGGGCTCAGTAGGCAGAGCCCCCAATAAGCGTGGCCGCTGGGAAGATGCAGCCAACCGCCGGCACCGCAGCCATTGCTCCCCCCCCCAGCGATCTCAGAGTGACAGGCGGGGCCGCCAATGGGCAGGCGGGCGCTCCAGTCGGCAGCTCCATGGCCGCGGCTGCCCGATGGCGCTGCCTGGGCGGGGCGCGCCGTGCGGCGCCGGGCCCTGCTCAGCCGCTTGGCGGTACCTGCTGGGTGATTTTTAGATTACAGCCCTTCATTAAACGGGGGGATGTCGCCCTCGGGGCTGACACGCGGGAAGGCCCCTGAGCAGTTGTGCCGGGGCCAGAGCGGCCGCTGCCGTCAGCCGGGCCTGCCCCTCAGCCCGGCCCCGGCCCCAGCCAGCCCGGAGCGGGCACGGGCCCCTGCGGAGGCTGGCACCGGCGGGAAGAGAGCTCCGGCCCCGGGTGCTCTCCTGTCGATTCACTTCTAGATAGAGGGAATAACTCGTGGGGGACACTCAAAGGAGTCTTTGAAGGAGAAGCGCAAACCGCAGGTTTTTTTTTGAACTAGAGCGGATTATGTTTTGAAGTAGAGTGACACAGAGTGAACAGGACCATGTTGCAGTCTCCAGTTTGCAGTGAAGGACAGCAGAACATTGTAGATTTCTGACCGTTTAAGAGAATACAGAAAAAGATCTCTAACCAGCTAGGCGCTGCTTGATGTTCCCAGATGTAAAACTGACAGACAGGAGCACCAGCCATCCCCACTCCTCCTCAAAGCAGCGGCAGAGCAGTCGAAGTTGCTATCCAAGTTAAACTTGCCGAAGACGAAGCAGTCACACAGCACAGGCACGGTGCTGAGCTGACAGAAGAAGATGGTGCTCACTCTTGCCTCCTCCTGGGGTCTGAGGAGCTGCTCTACCTGCTTCCAGCTTCCACACCCTCCCTCACCCCAGCATCTGCACTAAGTTCCACCTCTTTTGTTTTTTCATATTCTTCCCATTCTCTCTCCCCCACTTTCTTTCAGTGTTACAATGAGAAACAGTCAGCGTGGAAGGAGGGGAACATACCTTCTTTCCAAGGAGCTGACTGCCTGCTGTACCCTTCCTGTCCCTCCCTCAGTTAAGGTGTCCTTTCACAGCAGCAGAGGGACATTTGTTGATTCAGTCACTTGTGATTTAGGATGTCAGGTTGTTTGGTTTTTTTTCTAGGACTAGTGAAATGCCAGAACCAAACTAGAAGTTACGCAGATGTAACAACTGTATAATTTTGTGTGCTGTCCCTCACCAAAACTACCACTATTTTGATTGGGCATTAAAGACACACCCACTCAGGAAAAGCAGCCTGTTAATATTTGTATCACTGGGGCTGCTGCAATTATGTTGTGAAATCCACTTGCCAGCTGAAGTATGCAATTGAAAAGAGCCCAGCTCTGTTTTTCGGAAGAGTTTTACTTCCTAAGAAGTATCTGCTGTTAGTCATTTTCCATTACTCCATGCTTGTGAGTGGTGACTCAGTGTTGACCATGAAGACACAGATCAGTTGTGCTCAAATACTACGACACACAAAGGAAAACACCTTGAAAAATGCAGCCTCTTCTGTGGTACTATCTTAAGTTCATGACTTAGGTTACCAGATGTACCCTCAGGTCTAGGCAAGCCAGCAAATCTGACTGTATGAACAAACCAATCTACATCAAAGTTGCAATAAATGAGAGTCATGAGGAAATTACAATATTGGTTTAAGAATTTATCTATGAACACACCTGCAAATTTTAGCTGCTAGTTTCTTCTGAAGAGCTCCAAGAAGCCAAACATTAGATTGGTATTAGTGTCATACGGTAGTAATGAAAACAATGGTTTTATTTATGTTGTGACACTTAACACTGGTTTCAAACAAATTAATTACATTGGTAAGGTGGCATCATAATACCACAAAAAAGCATGTTACAGAAACAAAGAGTTCTGGTAAGATGTACAAGTTTCACATGAGAGAGTGAGCTGTGGAAAAAGTATCTGTGGTTTCCATTAATTGTACAAGTTGGTGAGAAAGAAACTATGGACAGAAAAAATAAAACCTATACACATGAGTTAAGGCTCTTATTTGTAAATGATCTTCCTACTGGAAGCATATTGAAAATGGTTTCTCTAAACAGGATGCAGCTCGAGGACTTAAACCTGTGCAAGAAGATTCACAATTATGGTGCTGTGGAGCTCACTGACCACATAAGTAAGCGCTGTGTTTGTTTCCTCTTTACACCACTCTGTACTGTACACATGAGTATTTACCATATGCACCTCAAGATTAAGATGTGCAAGCAAGCTAAGTCCTCATCAAATGCAAAAAGAGAAAACACATTTCTTCTATTGTCCCCATTCAGCAGGGAACTCTGATATTTCTCAAGCAGAGGGAAATCAGACATCCCTTTGTAAAAAAGCTATATGGAGTTTCTGGAGCCACTGCAAAGTAAAACTTGCCCGATTTAGCTTTTAATATGCATCAAGGTGTAAGCAGAGAAAACCAAGTAAACCAGCCTTTCAGTTAGAAGCAATGTCAGGGACATTGGGTTGCACTTCTGCTGAGGAAGACAAGCACTGTGAACAGAATTTTTGTGAGCACTGAGGAAAATGCAGAGAACAAAGCCTTTAAAAAAAACCCAAACTAAATCAAGTTTCAAAATAGCATCAAGCTTGGAATTCAGGTGCTTGATGGCACAGAAAAAGGGAGATCACCCAAGCAGTTCAAAATCACCAGAGTGATGAAGGGACATACATTATGTGGTTCATTTAAAACCATCTTCATGCATTTGTGTACCTCCCTCAAAGATACATACTCATTTCATTTAGGATTTTGGAAGCCATTACAGGAAAGGTCTTTACTGGAAGTTAGCAAAGTAAGTTTGTTAAACAAAATGCTTGCTAGACCTTGTAAGGTCCAAAGAAGCCCTGGTGAGCACCAAATGGCCTTGGACACAAGAAGGTGGGGGGTTAAGGAGGGCAGGACATTAGCTCAGGTAAGATCTGCTGCTGCTGCTGGATTCTACCTTAGTCGCAGGTACAAAGTACCCGTGGGTACTCAGCACAAAGTACAAGTGACATGTTCCACAGCTCACAGAGCACACTGGTGTTACCTGCACACACTGCTCACCACGCTCAGTGACAGTGACATGGCTTTGCTGAGCACTGCCACGCTCTCAGCAGGATTTCAGTGCCCAGCTGGGGCAGGCCAGGCCAGCAGCTGCCAGGTCTGAAACACAGCTCAGTGCACACAGGCCAACACTCTGAACACTGCAAGCTGATTTATAAAAGGTACAAGCCTAAAGTTCTGAAATCCTATTCTTAGGAACCAAACTGAAAGCTACAGTAGTGATTTGACGTGTCAGAAATATCTAAATGCTTACCCTTTGCCCCTGTTTAATCTATGCAAGTGACCACATTTGATACAAGAATAGCACTCTGCATGTTGAAAAACTAGCATTACCACACTGGCCAGAATCAAGAGTTCAACTCTTGTGAGAAGACCCTATTAATCTTGATTCATGACCTTAGAAGATTAACTAACCCAGAACTGACCACCCTGTTACCTACTGAGGACAGGAGATAGTTGGGAAAGGCACACTACAAAACACACTTAGCACAACTCACAGATATCTTTGGCAATGCATCCAGTCTAATGAAACATTCCTGTAAAAATCTTTCAAAGGACAGCATCCTATTGCCTTATTCACTCTCAATTTCTCTGGGACTCCAGGAAAGCTCACACTTGAGAATGCATGTAACTGTAAAATATCTTTCATTCCTTTATTCAAACTTCACATATACAGTGGAGAAAAAGACATTTTAAAATAGATCCATATAATTATATGGATTTTTGCAACATATCAAATTCAGATCAAAATTAAGATATACACTGTATTTCATAACCAAGCTAAAGCTTAAGTGTGTACTTTGTTTGTGTAATAAAACCAGGAACTACTCTGAATACTGGAACATTCACCAGTCAAATTCCACCCAGTGGGAAGTTTTTACAGCAATTTGGAGGCGCAGAATCCCTCTTTACAGCTATACAACCACACTGTAAACAAGTATTTGAATTAGGCAGTTTCCCTTCTAGCTTCCAAAAAGCCTTCATTTTACAAAAGCAGTTGCTGTAAGTTGCAATGGACACAGGAAGATTTAGACCAGTGGTTTTCAGTATGGAAGTTGCCAACCCCAAAAGAGCAGATCAACAGCAGTTATCTTTAATAAAGAACAGCCAGAGCCTAAGCTCAGCACATCTTCAGTCCTGATGTATATTTTCTCGTGGCTGGGTGTTTTTCCTCAGGTGCTAACAGTGCAAACAACTGTTCATGCAACTGGAAAGAACCAAACATTTGAAACAAGAGCCAGAAGAGTAACAGTGGATGTGGATTTTTAAGAGAAAAGCTGGAGGGAACTTTTGTGTTCTCACAATAAGCCAGAGAGAGCTCCACAAACCAACCAGTCCTGATGGAAGAGGTTATGACAGTTAAATGCAAAGTTCAAGTTAGCCGTTTCCAGTGTAAAAACACTCCCTCCACTAGATGTTAGTACTGCTTTAGTCAGAAACTAACAACCGACTGCAAACACCGCTCTTAAGAAATAACACAGCTCTTGTTCTAAAGACTGGGAAAGTGCAGGCAAAAACATACTCAAATCTAGATTAACAGGTCAACACTTTACAAAAAAAAAAGTTGTAGGACTTGAATAATCCCTTTTTAAACTGCTTAACACATCTGATAAATAGCTTACATGTCAATCTGATATACGCTGTACCGTTTGGCTCTTGAATCCCAAAACTTTGCGTATGAGACACCACATCTAGAACACTCTCAAATAAATAGTGTGAAACCAAAAGATAGTGAGTGTTTCAAAGCAAGAGTAACAGTACATCACGCAAGATAATCAGCGCTATACATACAGGGAATGCCATTCTGGTTGAACAAATTATGAAGCAGTATTCTCCATGAAATACTAGGCACGAGAATAAATCAATTAGACAGTGTTTTCTGCCTAATGGACAAGTCTAAAATTAACATTCTTGGCAATACAACATTGTAACTGATATGCTTCTTAACATTTAAGAGCCTTAATTGCAAAAATCATGAAGCGATGTTTATATTTGTGTCTTTGACAAGCAGTTACAGTTCTGGACAGATTTCTTCTATGCTGTGTGCTCCACTTTCCAGCTGGTCACGAGTAACATGTGCTGCATAAGAAAGATTACAAAAAATAGATAATTCTTCACACCCATTCAGTATTTTCACAACACACACAAATATCCTCCTCAAACCATCTTTGATTCTCCAAAGATAATGTTTGCCAACCCATCTTAGCAATGTATAAGCTTTTAACTGTAGAGTGCAGAAACGTCTAAAACAGTTATTTGACCCTCATGCTCTAAAGAGAGGGCCAGCACCACTGTTGTGCACACCAAGTACTGTGTGCTCAGCCCCCTGGAACTGGGAGGATTTAACTGAGGTGCTCAGAACTAACAGATGAGGCTCCTGAAACACCAGCAAACATAGTATTTCCAACATCATATTTCAGTTCCAGATGAGGCACTTGAAATAAAAAAAACCCAAGTTTATACATGAAGGAGTACAGTCGTGTGTTTTCAGGAAGTTGTTAACTCATGCATTTGAGCAAAAGCACTGCAATAAATCAGAGGAAACTCCTCCTCAGTGCTGATCAAAGAATACCTCATCAAAATGATAATATTCTTTTTAAAAAGCCACTTAGGCTTGGGCATGAGTTAGATTTGGTAACACGTAGTTTAACAAGCAAACAACACAGTTAACCAGCAGAGCTGATTGCCGTGTGCTCCCAGCTGTCTCACTTAATTCATCTTTAGGGTGATGCTTGCCCTGGTTAAGAAAACACAATATATTCTGTATCTACCAAAGGCCAAAGGGCACACCCAGTCAGTGACAGCTCAGCTGCTGGGTGCCATCTGAGCAGGGTTAGCAGAGCAATGCAGCTAAATGAACCAGAGGAAGAGAACAATAGTCTTACTGCTTGTCAATTGAACTGCTATAGACAACACCCTCTGGCTGATACTTTTGTGTAGCAGAAGACAGGTCTGCACTGAAATCATCATGCTTAAATTCACCTACATCAGGAATATTTTCTTCAGTGATTTCAAAGAGAATTTCTAAACGGAAAATTTTTATGGAGAGAAACAAAGGTCACTTCTGCTGGCAAAGTCTATTTATGTTATTCATGGAGTCATAAATAGCAAGTAGCCAGAGAAGGTGAAATGCTGAAACAAGCAAATGTAGAATCATAGAATGGTTTGGGTTAGAAGGAACCTTACAGGGTATCCAGCTCCAAGCCCCCTGCCATATGCTGTCTATTACAACTTATACTTTCTTTTCCAAAAAAGAGCTTGGCTGCTGGAATCCATACACATGGCTACTTGAGGCAAGAAAGGACTCATCCATCCATTTAAAACACTTGGTAGCCACAATGGAGACAGGTGCAAAAATATATAAAGAGTTCTCACCATCACTGACTGGACTGGCCATCTTCATTTCAATCAGCAAGAAATCTCAGTCTGTAACCAAGAAGTGCAACTTGTATTAGTGGACCTGGTGGTATCTGACAGGAGCCTTCTTAAACCTGCCTTAAGTCTTTAGGATATTCTTTGAAAGCAGAGTGTAGAGATTAGAAGTGTATGGTTAGTTTTACTCAAATACAAACCAGACAGAATTAGAGGGTAGAAAGAAACATCAGATAAGAGAAGCACAGAATCTGTAAGGGATCTTCATGGATAGAAAAAATTCCAAGTGAGAAGAGATTCTCAAATTGGCTGAAAAACAACCCAGGAGCCAGTGGAATCCCAGAGTCACAACTGACCACTAAGAAGTGCCTCTTATGTCACATCTTTACCTGCAACAATCGTCAGTACTACAGAAGTCATGTTACTGCATTGGAATAAAAGGACATTGCATGGCAGCTCTTGCTCACATAGACTGACTGGCATAACAGCTGAGTGGCAGCCACATCATCTCATGATCTCCACAACTTCCCAAGAACTCAAGTCAAATGGAAGAATTTATAAAAATATAGCTACAATACAACATGCAGAAAACCCAGAATATTTCCACTGAAGTTAAAAGCAAGCATCAGTGCTGTTAGTCAGTTTAACAGAGTGATGCCAAAACAAGCCATTGCAAAAATCAACTCCTGTATCACCCAGTACAAGAGTAAGGAAATCCTCCCTTTTCTGCTCCAGACAAAAGCACTTTAAAATAAAATTTCAAGTCAAAGAGCTCTTTGAAAGTTATCCAGGTGAATAATCTTTCCATATACTGTTCTCAGGAACATGAATATTAATAGGATTTTGATTTCCTTCTGCAAAGGAAACAGCCTAATTTTTAAATATTCAAGTGCTTAATATAAAAGCACAGCATGACCAAAAGTACAGCGACCAAAAACCCCAAGTAGCAAGTGTTAAAGCCATCTATTTGAGAAACCTTCTGTAGCTCCAATTAACATTTATGAATAAGGAGATTCTTCTTTGGCCTCAGAATACAGATGAAAGCAATAAATAATGTAATCCCAAAGAAGTTATTTCAGTAAAACTTTGACATTAACGCAGCTGTGTGCTGAACATTTCTCATCTCAATGTAGGAATTTCCTAAAATGTGGGCAGTGACAGAAGACTGGTTTATTAACATTTTTGTTCATATCCCATCATCCTTTGCCCAACCCTGTCTCATAATCCATCTGAGGGCATTCAATTCACCACCTGCTACAAAAGTGAGACCAGTACTTAACCTCAGAAGAACTGATCAAGGACAGGGATTAAAGGCTGTGATGGCTGATATAGTGATTAGGAGATAACAAAACATGAAGGTTAAGCAGAATGATAGAGAAGTGAAGAACTGAGAACTACATCAGCTTAATGGAAAGCATTTCTATATGCTATGGTGTGGAGCTGAACCAGTTAGTTAAGGGGTTGCTACATTTATGGAATCTATTAGCCATGAGCAGTCTAAAATTGATAATTACCAGTTGTGGCTCTGAAGCTGGTTATGAGGAAGGTGGAATGGACTTCAACAATAGAGATGGAAAAATGCTGCAAAGGTCTGCCTTCTTTCCAGTGGCGAATGCAGCTGGGGAGCGGAGTTGCCTCTGTTTTACAGCAGAGTGCAGAGGGATGGCAGCTTCAGGCCATGCAGAAGGCTCATACGGTTGGCTACTGCAGCCCTCCTTTCCCCTGGAGAGTGAAGTTCTAGTAAATAGCCATTATAAGGCCTATGTTCAGTTACTGGATAAAGTCAGTCCAGTAATGGGTCTCACATATACCAAAGGACCCTTTCAGAGCAATTGTGAAGGAATTAGTCCTGCTGTAGTAAATAACAGGATGAAAAGGTGCAATCCACAGAACTTAAACACGCAACTTTGCAAATCTCCTTTTTATTGCGTGGTATATAAATTTTAGACGAGTTCCTAGTTCACATGGTTGTGAAAAGCAGATGTGAACCAAGTTAAACCCATGCAGCATCTTCCCAAGTCTGCAGACCATGCTAATATCTCATAGCTTTGCCAACTACAGATGAACAAGACTTACAGACTTCACTGCCACCAGTCTCATGAGCAACAGATGTGTGGTTTGTTTATGTGAAAAAATTTATTCAAAGTGCTGTTACATAAAGAGGTGGGGAGTGAACTGTAATTATTCACCAGAATACCACTGCAGAAGTCTAAGACTTTTCACCCAGAGAGAAGTTTAAAGATGAAAGAGAAGGTGTCAGCCTCTATAGCTTTAGGAGTTTCCTATGAAGAGACAGCCCTGAAACAGGTTCCAGCAACAGCTCCCCCTCAAACATCCCAGACTTTCTTCCAGTAGCTGCACTGAGAGTCTTACCCCATACAATAGCAATGAACATTTCTGCTCAAGGACAAGTCTGTACTGAAAGCATAACAGCAGTTTTACATTACAGTGTTTTTCCTCAGGAAGATAAATACAGTCCTTTCAACAAGGAGGAAACATTGATGGTAATCTCCCATTGCTGGCTACAGGATGGATTGGGAGCAGAATAGGAAATGACCCACAACAAAAAGCCAGGCTCTACCATGTGGCCATTGAAGTGTTCAGTACAAGACAGCTCCTCCTTTAAAAGGGATGCTGGCAACTTCACTACCCAAAGTCAGTTACGTTGGGGAAATGGTGAAAAGCGGAAATGTTTGTTTTTCTGTTATGCCACAACAAACAAAAGCCTACATGCTGTTTATCACACTGAGATTTTGTTCCATGCTACAAATTTACCTGTCAAGACAGAGTGCAACCTTACTCAAGGAGTGTTACATACATACTGTACTCCTTCTAGTGATCTCACACCTGAGTATATTCATATCCCAACAGCTGAAAGGGCCACCAGTACTTACAGGTGCTTTTTAACTAATCAGTAGCTCACCGTGCTCGGTAGCTTCTGTATTCATTGTTTCTACATCTGCAGCATCACGCATCTCTTCATCCTCATCATCTTCATCTTCTTCACCATGTAGTTCTTTTGCAATGAGCTGCCTTGCCAGTTTGATGTTTCTTCCTTCATTGTAGTGCATTTTTCTCTTCATTTCAAACTGTTTCTTTTTCTCTGTGGGCAAACAAATGAAAACAGTTCCTTTCCTTAAAAAAGAAAATTAACATATCTTCTTCAAAGAGGATCTATCTCACCGAATAAAAATTATTGTCTTCAAGCAGTGGAATGTTCTTTTAAAATGAGTCTGACTTACAAAAAGGATAGTAATTGGAATCTCATAAGCACTTTTATAAGAACCTGTCTGCAACTAAGAGCAAGTCTGAACCATGAGAAGCATCTGGTAAAAGTACACAAAACTCCAAAGTTTCACAAGCCTTGTTTCTAAGTAAACTCAAGGACAAATTGAGACACACTGCTGGGATAGAAGATGAACTTTTGCAGATGTGTGGTTTGACTCCTGGCTAGCCACCAAAGGTCAGTTATGATAGATATATTTACCACATGTAGAAGAAAATATTTTCCACTTTCCCCATGGCCTGAAGCCAGCTCTGCTCCATATATTAAACATCAGCATATCCAGCAGTAATGTATTATAACTCAAGTAAATTTTGCTTACTGCCAGCCCCAATGCTTTGTTCTTTTCCTACCTTTAGTATAGCAAGGTTTCACACTCAAAGTTAAAGCCAGGAAATTTGAGAAGCACCAGTAAGATAATACAAGCCTGAAACCTTATAAGTATTGCTGTTTCACTGTTCCCTGAAAACATTCTAGTCCAAGTTAACATGAAACAACATCTCTGTTAAAGATGCTATTTGTTTGGAATAACTGTAGACTTCCTAGTGCATTCATCTACCAGTTGCTTTGAGAACAACAGAAATATAATCAGTACATTTGCAAGCAATTAGCAGCATTTTATTTGTAGTTGTACTCATTTAATTACATCTACCTGAAATATGTTCAATTTAAGAACTATTCCTTCAACCCCAAACCAGAAGTTCTTATTTGAGGTGATTTAGCAGGAATTCCCATACCTTAATTTTGTATACAGGGAGGCAGCCAACAACAGCAAATTCCTATTTATATGCAGATCCTAAACCAAACATTCTGACTAGAAACAAGCAGTGTATTTGTTCAAACACTATTTATCTTTATTTTCAAATCACAACATTTTTCTGATAGTACTTCTTCTTTGCAAATATTTCTTACAGAAAACCTGAAAATATTTTTAGGAAAAGAGTCTAAACAAAAGAAAGAAAACAACTTATGCCTACCCCGTTCTTCAGGTGTTAATTCTTCATCCTCATCCTCCTCCTCACTGCTTTCTTCTTGCCTTGCTATAATCTTGGGTCCTCTACCTTCAGCTGCAGCTGCCAGTCTGCATAAATCATGCAATACAAAATGCTGAAACAGCAAGTTTTTCACTATTTAAAATACATGACATTTCAGAATACTCACACAAGCAGCTTTGTTCATTATTTTTGCCATATTTGTATGTAGTAACAACGTGCAAGAGGTTTGAATTACCAGTAGCACTACCAAACACTGAAAACCACTTAATCTGACAACAGCAAAAATGCAGCTTCTAGAGAAACCAGCAACAGCTTTCCGAAAAGAAGAGCAGATTATCTTCACATTTAGTCAGTTTTTATTATTACAATACTTACTTTTTACTCAACACATCTGCTCTTAAGGGCTCACATTCTGAATCACTCACTGGATCCTCATCATCTTCTCCTCTCATGCTTGGAAGGCAAACAAAAAGTAGTCTCTTTTAGTAATTTGCTTGACTTTGTAGTTTGCTCAAGAAAACAGTCAAAACCTTACAACACTCAATTAAAAGATTCCTTTAATGCTTTAAAAGCTTTCCATTAAATATTGATATGACATTATATTCTAGTACTGAAAAAAAATTAAATCACTAGAAGTCAGACCTATTTATTCTATTCAAAGGCTACAGCTTGCCTCTAAACTTTGTCCTTTCAGACTGTTCTCCTTATTTAGAAGCCTTGTAGATCTGAGTATCTTGCACACACCCAGCAGGCCTGCACAGTAATACTACATCACCCACAAAGTAAATTTGGCTCTAAACCCACAATTCCACCTGGCAGCACACAGACCAACACTTGAGCAAGCATACCTGTGGTAGGGAGTACTTGGCTCATCAATTTTCATCAAGCCATAATCTTTGCCTGCAGGGTGGTATGTAGCTATGATGTTCATTTCATCCCACTTCTGGGATTTTTTACTGAAATATGAAAAGAAAATTTTCTTATATTCTAAAACAATTAGTTCTGCTTTACCAGAGAAGGAATTTTTAAAACATCATCTGATCTCTACTACATACTAAGCACAAAAATATTGTTATGACACACAGACGTGTTCAAAGTATGACTTAAATACTGCTCTGTACATACTTAAGTCATAACAAATTATCAGTGCAAAGTCACAATAGCTAAACAAACTCAATTATCTATAAACATATTCTTATTAATATAATTCAGAGACTCCTCATCTAGTTCAATGACTATCTTGTGAACTCTGATTTTAGAGTAACTTGTAAAAAATGAATTCTTCTCCTTATTACAACCCACAAGACTTCAACAAAACCCAATACCTTTGAGTTCACCTCTGCTGAAGGAGCTAGAATAATTATTAGCAAAACTGTTACATAAACAGTAGCTACCAACAAATCCCCTCCTGCAGTGAAATAAGTAGCATAGAACAAGCTGATTATTAATACTGCTTTTGTCGTCCTAAATTGGAATAATAAGCCAAGTGATTCACTGCTATAATTAAGCCGAGGGAGTTTCACATTTTATACAGACAAGTACCAGTGATGCTACATTATCTAGAATTTTCTTAGTCAACCAGAAAATGTACCACTTTATGTATATTTGAAGAAACTAAAGCTCACCCACACTGACTGCTCACTGACAAAATATATAAGCCACAAGAAAAGCAATTGCCTTGTGGCCAGAGAAAGAGCCCTCCCTACCCTGATCTAAAAGCCAGAAAAAATGTTTAATCAACACAAACCACCATGTTACACATTTTCCCTAAAAAGGTCACTGCAAACTTCATATAAGGTGGTCTTTTCCTTAGATTAAGCCAATAAATTTAATTTCAAAATAATACAAAAATTGGACTAATTAATATATTCTTGTTGTAAGTTATTATTTAAGGAAGCAAACATTACGGGACTTTGTGCGGGTTTTTGTTTGGTTTGGGGTGGTTGTTGTTTGGGGGTGGGAGGGGGCAGTTGGCAGGAAGATTTCCACTGACTGCTCTTGTTCAAACACAGACCGCTCCAATAACAGATCTGAAAGATATATTCAATCTCAGTAACACAAGTGCTCTTAGGCAGAATGATATCTGTAAAAACAAACTTGATAAAGCAAGATTTCAAGCACAAAGTAGATTCTACATTTGCAGGATAACTGCATAATACAATATGGGGAAAAAAAAAATAAAGGGGGAAAAAAAGATGTGGGGGTTGATGCTGAATCCTACATGCCACAGGCTTACACTCCAGAAATTAATAAAAATTGAATGAAGTGAATCCCCCTCAGCACACAGTAGCCAGTGCCAAGGTCTCATGTTTGAGGCTTCAGGTCCATTGAATCATTTTGTGCAAACACAAGGACTGCAGCATAAGCGGACAACACGTGAGTCAGAGCGCGGCCCTGGCAGGGCGGGGAGTCATGAGCTTCGTGATGACAAAGCAAGAGCTCGGCTCCAGGAACGCCACTCATTCAAAACTGCCTGGCTGGGAGTCGAGAAATCCCCAGTTCACCCAGTTTAACACAGCCTGAAGTTCCTCCATGACCAACACGAGATGCTCACTGTGCTGCACAGCGAGGAATTTTACCAGCCAGAGCACTTAGCCAATGGTGCTCAGGGTACACAGCCGCTGTAAAGAGACAGAGCTCAGCTGGCAGGGAAATCCAACAGATGGGAGACATTCCCCTCACATGCCTTGTGCTCGCTTGCCCAGAGCAATCGAGGTTTACAGCCCAGGCTCACAACTCCACCTAATAATAATACTGGCAACCTTGGAACAATCCCTTTGGCATGCACCGTGCTGGAAATCAGACAGCCCACACTGAGCAAGTCAGTGAGTCATAAATAAAAGACTGAACAAGTTTTTAGTGGCTTAGTTTTTCACACTTATTTTTTTAAACTCAGATTCCAACACTAAAAGCCTTGGCTGTGAAACACCTCCAAAACCACAACTTGAAGTTCACCTAGGGGGAAAAAAAGTCATTAGTGGCAAAGAGACAAACATGTCATTTCACCCCTGCTTTTAAAAAGCCCTCGCAGGAGAATGACTAAGTGCTCTGAAAACCCACACCTCCCCTGGTTGTTTCCAATTTTGCATGCTTAGGCATGTCTGAACAGCACAACACGAATGACATGGCTTAGGACCATCAAAGAAAAATGCATCCTGACACCCCTTCAGACAGAGAAATAGGAAATCTAATCTTTCTTAGGAAAATGAGATTTGAAAAATCTCATAAGTGCTCATTTGTATGTTCTCACATCTTTAATAATATACAATAACTTCATTTGACATCACACCAGGTGGTGTGGACAGGCAAGAAGTTTCAGCAGCAGTAACAGCCAAGGAACACCTCTCACACCTCCCTTGCTCCTGCCATAGCAGACTCAACTCTTCCAACACAGCTGCTTGTGCACACACACACTTCCACAATTCCTTTGTAAAATATCACATCTATTCACTCACAGGCTCTTGCAGGGGTCTGAAGGCAAAAAATACACTACCCCAGTGTGTATGCCAAGAACACATCTGCCATTAAACCACAACCTCAGCTCTTAGGATGCAGTTCCAGTGGTGTCTCAATCTCTCAAGCTTCCTTCTTGCATTGTATTTTCATGAAGGAAATTTTCCCAACAATGTTACCATCACTAAGAGCAGCACAAGGTCAGTAATGATGCAAGTACATGAGAGCTCTGAACGTGCTTTAAAAGATGACAGCTGACACAATGAGCTCTTTCATCTACAGATATTTATAAAGATCTTCAGACCTGATTTTCAATATTAGAAATAAGCAGAAGAATTAAGAAAACAGATACCTGAATTTATTAACTAATCTTCAATCTCAAAGGAAAATCACAACTGTACTACTTATCATTCTTCTAAAACCAAAATGGTTTTGCTGAAATCAGAAATAACACTGATATATTGATACACTGGCAAACAAAAATAATACCTGTACAGAAACCAGCTTTATATACCCTGTACTGATCTTTCCAGGAAATTTTCTAATGCAGCCTGCCAGGTTTAGCCAAAATCTTTCAACTTGCAAGGCAATTTCAGAATTAATCTGACTTTATTGGCTCGTGTTGGTAAATAGGAAATAGAAGCTGGACTCCAGCCCACTAACTACTTCCCAAGAAATTACTGTGTGCAATAACCAATACACCATACACTCATCAGTTCATACGCCAATTTCTACTCATTTTTCAAGATGGTACAAAAGAAACCGCAGAAAATTAAACACAAGCTACCAACAGCCAGTTGTAATTTATGTCTGCTGTGGTGTTAAACACATCAAGCTACGTATTAGAACAAAAGAAAAGGAAAAGAAAAATCACATTTGTGTAACATACTGCTACTTACACTCACCTATTTCAAAAACATCATCTCATTCATTCAGTTGACTTTTTTCTCTGGAAAGCAGGAGCAGCTAACACAAGTAACACTGCAATCCAAAAGCTCTTCTTTCTTACCTTGCTGACTTTAGACTACATTCATGACTTAACTCAGCAAAGATGAAAGGAGTATTACCATAATAATAAAAAAAAAGACCAGCATGACCATGTCGTTTTATCATTACTTCTCTCCTTGCAATACTGAATAAGGTGCAAAACAAAGAAAACTGTCTAAAGCAAATTTTTAAACACTCAGTTCAGGTCAAACCTTGCTCATCATAACTTGATGGAGAATCAGAGCAACGGCAGGCAGCACATGCTGGGTGCTCCAGGAAAAGTGCAGGATTCTTAACCATCAAGGACAGGTGCTGGCCAGCTGAAGACCACTTCTGGCATATCTGGACTAACTAGGCATGTTACAATTAAACCAAGATTTTCATGTCATTCAAATAACAAACCACAAGGCTGTGCGCATTCTCAAGAGTGAGATTTTTAGATAGCTCCTGCCCAACCGAGAATATATCTTGATGATGTTTCAGCCCGGGAGAGGTCCCCTCTCCAGGGACATGCCTTTGATTACAAGAAATGAGCTGCCTATGAGAAGGCTGAGAATAAATCAAGCGCATTTCCCAAACTGTGAACTATCCTCGTAGCATGGGTAAACCCTTTGTGAGCTGCCACACTTAGCAGGTGACAGCCACTCCTCGGCGGGAGCCAGGGCGAGAGCTCCCGCCGGCCCCATGCGAGCAGCGCTCCCCGCCCCCGCTCAGGTGCACGGCCGGCACCCCCGGCTGCCGGCGGAGCTCCGGCCCGGCAGAGCTGCCACTGCCGGCTCCCGGCGGAGCTCCGGCCCGGCAGGAGCTGCCACTGCCGGGTCCCCAGCGCCGAGCGGAGCCGAGCTCCGGGCCCGCCGCCGCACGGGGGGCACGGCACGGACCCCCGGGCAGCAGCATCCCCCGGGCACGGGGCGCAGCAGCAGCCCCGGCTGGAGACGCCGCCGGGCTGATGCCGCCCCGCGGGCCCCTCGAAGGAGCGGGACGGCCGGAGGGAGGCCCTGCGGGGACCCGCCGCCGCCCACCACCACCGGGGCCTCACCCTTGCTCGTCCTCGTCGCAGGCCTGGCTGGGCTGTCGCGCCCCCACGGCCCCTCCCGACGAAGCCTTGCTGCCGCTCTTCTTCAGGATGCCCTTGATGGGCCCCCGCCTCGTCGCCGAGGCGTCCGGTACCGACGGCTCCTCCATGGCCGCGCCGCCCGCCCGGCTCCGCCGCCGCCGCCGCCCCGGCCGGGCCC